CAATTCACATGTATTAGCATATATCACATCTCAATTTTTATTCATGTACATAGCACTCAATTCCTACATTTTTACATATCTAACACCTACAAAAATAACAAGTCTTTATCTCAGTAAGGTCGTGTTTGGTGGCATGCCAGATTTACGTTAAATAGGATTTTTTTAAATCCAGTTACCAAGATTCATGAAAGTGTGACGGGCGAGAGCAACAATGCGAGTGACGAAAGATTAAATTCTTAAATCCTTCCAGCAATCAGATTTAGTAAATTTAGATTTACGTCGAAGAACAGAAATAATTTTGATCTAACAGAGCGTTGGTTTTAATTTTAATTTTATTTTATTTTTTTGTGTTTTCTGGGTTTACCTTAAATTCATGCATTAAGCGGTGGCGGTCCCTACGGCGAAACAACCATCCCAGTCGTCGCCTCCCTCCTTTGCAGGGTGGCTGCAATGAAGGTCGGTTGAAAATGTTTTAGATACCTCGGGTTTATTGTTCAAAGTGATGGTGATATATATAGATGTGGATTTTATTAGTAGAATTCGAGTTGGTTAGCTGAAGTGGATGAGACATTACGGGAATTTGTAATGCACAGGCCATAAATGTTGCTTCATATGATAATCTCCTTGGCAGACGTGTACACAACTAAATATTTGAGGTATCTATTCGCTCTCACCACACATTTCAGATGTTGACTTTAGGCTTGTTGTGAATTAAGTCGCCAGCCTTACTAGCATTAAGGAGAAGGTACTACTTGAAAAACAATTATAACCCGCATTTAGGAGAGTTATATACAAATATTAGAGGAGTGCATCGAGCCAACAACAATAATAATAAAAGACTAGATTACCTTGAGCGTACAAAAGACAAAATAGCCCATAGGCTAGGCATCAACTTTTTATCACACAAAAAGTATAACCTCTTGGCTTGCTCCACCCACACGATTTGCTTATTCTAGTTGTTAGTATCTATTTAATTCTTGAAATTTTTGCTATTAGACTAAAAGGAAAGACTAAAAAGGTCATACAAACATTTTTGTTTAATTGATCTAGGTTGATTGCACTTTATGATATTTGTTTTTTTTTATGATTCAGGTTATTTATGGATACTTGTACATCAAGTTCGTGGATGTATAATAGTCTTTATCTAGAAAGAAAAAGAATCACTCAAGAGTTCTTGAACAAAGTCAAGGTCTTTGTGTCAACTACACCTAATCCTTCGACGTATCAATCTAAGGGCAGGATTGGTGTTCAAATTTGAGAAACAAAAATACATCATACTTAATTCCTGATAAGTCAAATATGATTTATATAGTCGGTGATTTAAAGATGATTATTAGATTTAAACTTCACATGGTGTTGTTAACCCTACAATATGTAGTTCTGCTCCTTTGACGGGCTGTGACCCTCAAACTGAATTTCAATCAAGTTAATTTGAGGAAATGGTCTTTGATGGGACAAGATATTACTATCTGAGTCAAGTGAAGGAAGAGTCACTAAACCAAAAAGCTCAGGAATTTTATGATTTATTAAATGCGGCTCAAAGGGCACTGTGAGAGGGAGGCACATCCCATTCCGAGTTATCTGTAGCTCTCAAAAAGCTAAAAATTAAAGCCTAGTTTAATATGTCATGAGAGTGCTTCAATCAATTACAAGAATTATTGAAAGAGACAAATCCACAAAAAAAAATAATTTTAGAAGACTTATACAAGATGAAAAAGCTAGTCTCCAAGTTAAAACTGAAAGCAGAGAAAATTGATTATTTTGTGAACATGTATACTATTTTACAAGTCCAAGGAAATAGAGAATCGGTGTAGATTTTTTCATTCTTCTAGATTCAAACCTCAGAGTAGAAAAAATAAAAGACAAAAGGAGGTTTTATACAAGTGGCTCTTTTATATGCAGCTTATTCAATGTCTTCAAAGGCTACTTTATTCCATATGTGCTGCTCTACATATGACTTAACATCATAGCAGATCGGAGAAAATCAACCCAATGAGTCTTCTTGCAGATGGAAAGGCATAAAAATATTTTAATTGCACATAAACTAAGTTCAATACAGAGGCATGCAACGTGTGGCTTAGCTTATGCTCTAATGGCTTCTCACCATACAGTCAGACCACATTATCATGAAATTGTTGGCCAATGATTGTTACACCATACAATATGCCACTTGAGATGTGCATAACCACACCATTATTCTTTCTGACACCGATTAAATCAAATCCTAGTATCCCTAAAGGTAGAATTGACATACACTTGCAACTAAATATAGATGAAGTGCATATTCTCTATGAAAGAGATGTCACAACACATGATATTTCAATGAAATATAATTTTCAAATGAAAGCAGCATTAATGTGGAAAATAAATATTTTTCTACGTATGGCATGTTATTTGGGTGGAGCACTGTGGGAAAGTTAGCTTGTCCATATTATATGAATTCATCTAAGGCATTTACGTTTCAGCATTTCAGAAAAAATTCAAGATTTGATTATCACTGTATGTTCTTAAATGTTAAACATCCCTCAAGGAAAAACAAAAATGCATTTAGAAGAACCAAGATTGAGAAATCAACACTACCTCCAAGAGTACCTTAGAAAATTTTAGCACAGATTGTTAGTAGAATTCCAAAGATTAACGTTAGCCCCAAGCTTTCTTCACATCATCCACCAGGCTTTGGTTTTAAGCATAACTTAATAAAAAGTTGTAGTTTTTGGGATCTAATAATATGATCAGACACAATCTTGATGTCATGCATATGGTAAAGCTTTTTCTTATAATATCTTCAACACTGTGATTGATGTAAAGGAAAAAAACTAAAGATAACGTGAATGTCAGACTAGATATGAAGGAGATTTACAAAAGAAGAGAGTTATAGATCAAAAAAATTGTTGCTGGTAAGATTATGAAGTCAAAAGCAAAATACTCTCTTACTTTTGCGCAAAATACTCTCTTACTTTTGCGCATCATAGATCTATTTGTGAGTGGCTTCAATCATTAAAAATTTCAAGCGGTTATAGTTCATATTTGAACCATTGTGTTGATGTAGAGGGAACAAAGATATTTGAAATGAAAAGCCACGACTATCATTTTCTTCTAAAATTTGATGACAATAACATTTAGTAACTTGCTAATGCTAAGGAAAATATTATTTCCACTAAATGAAATCAGTGTATTCTTCAGAGAACTATGTGCATCTCATTTGAAACTTGATGGTGTACGATTGTTAGAAATAAACATTCTAATAATACTTTTCAAGCTCAAAAAAATATTCTCACCTAGTTTCTTCAACTCCATGGAGCATCTGCTGGTACATCTACTACAAGAGGCATTAGTTGAAGGTCTAGTACAATTTTGTTTGATGTATCTATTTAAAAGGTACAAAGTAACACATGCACACTATGTCACTACTGCATAAATAATAATTTTAAACTGTGCTAAATAATAATTTATTTACAATTTTTTCAATAAACTGAATAAAAATGTGAAGAATAAAGCACGCCAGAAGAATCAATATGTGAGGTATAGTTATTGCAGGAGACTTACAACTTTCTACTCCTACTATTTCGTTCAGGAAGAATCCATAGAAGATTAATTGGGTGTGGTGCCTCCCTCGACACTTTTTATTTTTTAGCAGTTAGGTGAAGTATTGGGGAGGTGCACATCACGTTATCTCAGTAATCAGGAAGTTCAAGCAGTGACACTTTATATTCTTTTCAAATGTGACAAAGTTCAATCCTTTTTTAAGTAAGGCATTTTTTAGAAGTAATTGTTAACCCTTTCGTTTGTAAATATTCTAATGAGCTAATTCATAAAATTTTCAATGTGTGAACAATATTTTTATAGATTCGTTAAATTTAATTGAAGGTGATATAAAAATCCAGGAGATAGAGAATAAATTCCCTAGTGGTTTATAATGCACGTAAGATAGAATTTGGCAAAATTATTACTCATCTCACACTTATGTTTTTAGGTATCTTAATTAACATAAGTTTTTTTATGAAATAATAGATTCGTGATTGGAATAATGGAGTAACATATCATGGCTCAATAGATATTGGTTGGGGACTCATGCACATCGTGAAAATTTAACAAATTTATGATATTAAGGGGTACAAGTTTCATAAGAAATCCTAGTCAAAAGAAAAAAAAAGACTTGTAATATGATGTTTATGTCAAAGTAAATTAGAAATTGGACAATGTGATAGATTAATATGAGATTCTCAAAGAAGTTGTTGAACTATCTTAACATGGACTCATTGGAAGGAGTGTATTTCTATTTAATTTTGATTGATTTGATTCCATTTCTAATTGTGGAATAGGGTAAACTAACTGTATAATATCATAAAAGTAAAGTTGGACGTAAGGTATGCTAAATTTGAACCTATCATACTAGTATGACAAGAAAGTTAGGTATATTATCTTCCATATCCTCATAAAATAAGAGAAAAAGTTAATTGGGCAGTAGTCAAAAACAGGTAAACCTAGAGAGACTATTGATATTCATAATACAAAAGAACCTCATCAAAAAATAGAAATAATAAATTTATGCATTTCACTGAAGCCAATTCATGAAGAGCTCAATTTAGAGGATGCAGTGGAGAACAAAAAGAAATGAGTATCATTCGAACCCAATTTCAACATGCATATAGTCAAACTAATAGTTTTGACAAGAACCCAATTATACCAAAACTAATTCGATCGGGGTTCAATCAAGCCCACATCAAGTCATTATAACACATTTTAATGCTTTGGATCATCAATTAAATGGTCAATAAAACTTCAAATTTGACATAATTATAGACAAATCGGGCATCTTGAAGAGAGAAATCAAATAAACCAAAGATCACTAAACTTCAAGATCATTATGGCACTCAAATCATTAAGAAATTCATATAATCAAAGGGGATCAATATAAACTGTCTGATCTTGTGATTAAAGAAAATATTTGCCAAAATATCAAAATACCCCTCCCTCGAAGACTAATAGACCCTCTCTCTTCACTTAAGGGGGAGAGGAGAAGAAAAGAATTTCTAAAGCATGTTCTAGACTAAAGAGGTGACAATAACTTCTGACCTCTGTAGTAGCCGACAACTATCAAACACCACCCGTTGGCCATCGTCTACGGTCACTGCTGATTCCTGCTTACTAACATTGTATCTCAAATATGGCTTTAATATATTGAAGACCCGATGATAACATTGCATCTATAACCACTGACTAATATTGACCACCGCTAACCATTACCACCTATTATTGTCAACCACCATTGTTTGTGCCCGTCATAACCAAGATATGACAGTTATTTCCAACACATGTGTTGTTCTTTATGTTGTATAAAGACAAATACAATGTTCAAAGTAAAATTTTAACTTTGTTCTCCTTGAAAGAAGGGATCTAATAACCAACTATGAAATTTTAAACCAATTACTACTATCATGGTTTTCAACTACGACCTCAATGACTGACTGCCCCTCTTGCAACCATTGACTATCTGTTTCTATTACAACTTTCAACTACGGCCTATGTGGACAATGCCACTGTTGTGCCCAATAATCAAGATGTTTGTGACCAACTATTACTATTATAATCTCCAATTATAGCCTCTGTGGCCAAAGTACACATTTAGATCCACCAATTACAGCCATTGTGGCTAAGAAATATTATTGCAGTCTCCAATTATGCTCTCTGTGGCCAACACTCACTATTGCAGCCACCGACTACGACTTTTGTGGCCAAGTACTACTATTACGATATTTGTGGCAAATTAATATTGCTACAATCTCCAATTAAGATCTTTGTGGCCAACTACTGCTTTTGCAATCATTGACTACAATCTTTATCACAAATTACTACCATTTTAGCAATCAATTATGACCTTTTTGTGGTTAATTATTACTATTACAAGGAAGAACCACATTTTTATTGTCTAATTAGGACAATTATTGCTAAACTATTATCATACATATGTGATTATATCTGTTTGTAATTCAATCTTCTCTGATTCAGGAGAAGAGTTGACTTATTTACTTAGAATTAAATAGTGAAATACTTTAACCGGGCTAGAACGTTGATTTTTCTCTTTTAGGGGTTTGAACATAAAAATTTTTGTGTCTTCTGCTATTTTTATTTATCTGTATTTTTGTTGAATCAACATGCAACACTAAAACGTAAAAATATCACTCTTTTACCTTAAATTTTCGGAATGCAACAAATATATTTAATTAACTATACCTTTATTTAAATTAACTTGTTCACTCCACTTATATCAAAATATGATAGTAACCTAATAATTTATTTGTTATTGCTCTTTTTTATTTTCCATTAATAACCAATGTTTCTACATGTTTCATCAAATGGAATGTCCAAGATTGGTGCTATTCAAGTATCATGAAAGTATTGCTATGAGATAAAAAAACATAAACAAGCGTATAATAATTTCATTTCTTCCACTTCTAGGCACCAACATTGTTTTACAAGCAAACCCTCCATATATAGAACAAGAACAACAAACGATAGTCCTCTTCTGTTTAATTGGCCTCTTGCATGGCAAAATGACAACCGGCAACCGCATCGCTAATCGAGAGAAAGAACCAATCGCTAATCGAGAAAAAGAACCACTCTTCCCCTATCGCTTCTATAAAATTTGCCACTGACAACTTCTCCACCACTTTTATGCTTGGGTTTGTTAATGCCACCTACATAATTAATGACGAAATTATTACTTCTTTATATATATATATAAATTTGAGTACCACACCCTACACTCGGGGGATTCGAATCCCAAACCAGAAGGGGCTTACAACTGACAAGCAGATGTCTGTCCAATTGATCTGAATACCCCGCGCATACACACACACACACACACATACAAAGAGAGAGAGAGAGATACCTTGATCCCCTTCTTCAGAAGCATTTTGTGAGTATCCAACATCATTCCAATGCCACTGTTGTCAATGGCAGACACCCCTTACATACAAATTTATGAATAACTAGTTAAAAATAATTATGCATGAACTAACTTTAAGAAATTACATGCATGCGTCACACATCACTACGTAATTAATGACACAACATACCGCTCATATCGAATATAACATACTGTAAATCCGGGCTACTCGTCTCCTTAATTCTATTTTCTTCACCTTCCACCCACCTTAAAATCCTGCACATCATGTGAAGAAGATGATTCAAGTTTATGGCTCCATTCCTCTGCTACATCTCTAAGTAAATTTGTAGCACGATTATTATTACCTCTCTCTAAGATAACCGGCATTGGCGAAATACATGGGAGAGCCGAGCTGTATGATCAGAATGCCAGATATGTCCGTGGAGTCTGGATATTGGTCAATGTCGCGGTAGAGATCCGTTCCAGGAAAGTATCCTAGCTTACGTGTGACAGGCCTTGCCACATGTAGCAGTGCTCTTATTAATGACAGCAGAAACTGCAGGGTGTTCGAAGCTTTTATGTATTAATCATTTTTTTTTCTGGAAAATAATTTCAAGATCATTCCCAGCCAAGTTTAGTCCAATTTATTTACATATCTAACACCTAAATCTTATTTTTTTTACATTAATACAGCCAAATTGTTTATGTCATATTAAAACTGTTCTTATTTGAACTTTTAAAAGGTGAAATGCATGGCTTCATGCATGAGTAAGATAGCATGCATGTAAAAATTGAAATTTTAACGGTTAGATATGTAACGTCATGCATGATTAAGATTTGTGGCCAACAACTGCTTCATGTCATACTTAAAAGGTGAAATGCATGGCGTCATGCATGACTAAGATAGCATGTATGTAAAAATTGAAATTTTAACGGTTAGATATGTAAATGCATAAGAATAGAGTGATGTGTATGTAAATATAACAGAAAGGAGGTTGGAATACTTGAAGGAGAGTAAATAAGCAGTCTCTTTTCAGCAAAAATAAAGCGTAACAAAGAGCTCAAAAAAAATGTTGATTAGTACTGCAAATAAAGATTTTGATGTAGTAAATGGAGTTTCTTTGAGAATTTAGACTTCAGCTATTGATAAATAAATTAACTTGATTTATTAATGTGTGTTGTTTTAACATATATATGTACTTAGTGGAGATATAAATTTACATTGCAGTGGATAAATCCTCTCATTTATTATTACATCTAGAGCACTATATAATATCTTATAAATAAAATTATTATTAATCCCATTTTGTATCAGACTAAGGTTGTGATCAGTATAGAAACTGTTGTGACAGGGGCTTTAATTGTATTAGGGGGATAAATTAGTCTTTTGTATTTTTTAGTTAGTGTGCCCTAATCTTCTCTTATTTAAAGGGGGGGTTAGGGATCCTTTTGAGAGAGAGTTATAACCGTACCTATTTATGGACGTTTTTTCTTTCTTTCCACCTATGATGGTGAAATCTCTCTTCCCGTGAATGTAGATGATATGTCTTTCGAGATACTTACTTCTTTATTTTACAAATATTTTTGAATGACACTGCACTTTAATGAAATGTATTTTTATGTTTATGATACATTTATAACAGGTAGGAGTATTGGAACGAATTATGGCTAAATCGGAGCGAAAAAGAACCAAATGGAGCAAAGGTGCTGATTGTGGTATGGCACCTAGGCGCCAAGGTATTGCAGTTGAACACCTTAGCGCTAGGTTCTGAGTGCTTAGGCGCCCAAGCTTTTTAAGCAGACAGAGAACCCGATGCCTAGGTGTCGCATACTGGGCGCTTAGGAATTGCAGTTCATACAGTTACTTTTTGCACGACTCCTGGAGTTATTTTAGGGGTGTTAACGGTTTAAACGGGGAGTTTTGGCAACCTTAAGTAGGGAAGAAGTTCCAAGTCCTGAAATTCTCCAAGGACAGTAGGTAGGTGTAGGAACTCTTGTTTTAGAGAGATTTGAGAGATTTTGTAAGGGGTTTACGCAACATCTTGTGTAGCATTGTGAAAAACTTCATCCGGTGAAATTTTCTTCTCTTTTCAGAGGGCAAAAACTAAGTGTGTAATCTTATTTGATTATTGTTGTAAACATATATTTGGTTAATTTGCTTGGATTGAATGAAATTTTCATTCGTGTTTATCATGTGTAGTGAGTAGATTTCTTTGATTTTTTCCTCATGAAAGATATGTTTGATTTGTAGAGTTGTGAATGCTTTGCATTGATATTTATTTTCATTTGGTGAGTATATCTCTATACTTAATTTACATGTTGTACTGACTATATAACTTGTTAAAATTCTTTGTGACCCATTATGAATCGAAAGTGCGGTGGCAAAACGACATAGCATAATCACATTGTGTGAATGACTATGACATATGAGTCATGAGGTAATGCCACTTAGGGAGATGCGTATCGATATAGTTTGAATTAGGAGCTTCACGGGTGATAAATGAAAACAGTTATCTAAATTTGAACCATACTCATTTACGCACTCGAAAGAGGATAAACGAGTCTTATGCTCCTGTTGTCACTACCACATTACAATTCTTAATGTTAACACCAACAATCTACCTAGAAAATCATAAGAGAGAAATACCTTTATCAATCTCGAATTTCACCTATTTAATTGATCTAGGCAAGTTTAACTTAGGGTAGAAATATACTTAGGAGTAGTTGTTAGAAAAATCATATTTAGTGATCGTCCAAACTAGGTCCTGAAAGTAGTAGGCTAGAACTCACCTCTAGGTTGTTATTACTATGAAGTCTCTATCACTTTACCTATGGAATCAACATGTCAACTCAAGTAGAGCCTTATTTTAAGAAAGTGATACATGCACTTGTGTAGAAACCCTGACTGTTACGTGGAAATTGTAATTTAAATTAAATTATCATTAAAGTGATGGTAGCTGCTGGGATTGTCAATAGGTAGATCTGCATTGAACCATGTAAATCTCACTGTATTTAAATGATTATTTGCAGTGTAATTTCATATTAGTTTTTCAAAATTTGGTATTAGAGATTTTTGTTTTGTTATTGGAGCTTACAGAAACAACATGTGATATTCATCATGGTCAGAGAAGTCAGAGGCAAATCCAACACAGCAGAAAGAGAGTCTAGCGTAGTAAACCTATCTGACACAACATTAAGCAGATACATCACAGCGAGTGGGTTTGTTGTGATCGCAGCAGTCAGAGGCGAGTCTGGTTCAATAGACAAGTTTGATGCAATAGCAAGTGGTTCTGGCGCGGCACATGGGTCTCGCGCAAAAAATATTCAAAAAATATTGGAGGAAACATTGATTTCTACTTTTCAGAATATTGAGGATCATAACATATATCTGTTATAGACAATAACATAGTGTCTAGTTCTTCAATAATTAGCATGGCTGTGGAAAAGGTGACGATTCATTAGTTGGTTATGCATCCCCTCAAGATCGATTTGAAGATTTGATGACAAATAATTTTGGCATGTGACGATGCGAGGTGAGGGATGCAATGTACTCTTTGAATCTGGAAGAGATTATTGATGGCAATGAACTTTCTGTAGAGATATCAGAAAGAGACTGATTGAATATGAACCAAAGTCTTGTGATTTGATCTGAAATAGCTTGAATCAAGAGATCAAATATGGAATGATAATGGAGATGTCTGCATGAAAATTATGGAGGATGCTGAAAAAAAATATCTCATGAAGAGCATAAATAATCATCTTCATATGAAGCATTGCTTCTATAGTTTTCATATGAGACACGGGGTTACTACTGATGAGCATTTCAATGACTTTATAAAGCTGCTAACACATGTATTAAATCTTGATAAGGAGGCTGGAGATGAAGACAATGCTCTTCTTTTGTTGAATACACTCCCCGATGAGTACAAAAACTTCATGATGACACTCATACATGGGAAGAAGATCTTGAATTATTGTAATGTATAGTATTTTTGAATCACGAGTTTTGTTGAAGAGAAAATAAATACATAAAAAGATGGATTCAGTCGAGTCTCAAACACTCGGACGTGGCAGTTCTTAGAAGAACAAGAGTTGGGCAAAGAAATTCGATTGCTGCAATACTTTTTTGAAATAGGGCAAGTCTCGTGGGTGCAGTTTTGAAAAAAATTAGTGTGCTTTCTTTTTTGAGACTGAACATTCGATAAAGAGCGTGAAACTAAAGGAGATAAAAAGGGAGTTCCTCTTAGACGATAGCCAATCTAATTGTGGAGAAATGTGAAGAGCCAAACTCAAATGTATCATTATCTATAGTTTCTCAAATTTTATATACATATGATTTGTAATAGATTTTGGGCATAAGTGCTACATATCACATGTATTCCAATTAATGGTGGTTATGTATGCACAATAAGATTGATAGCAGTGTAGTAACTATAGACAATGATCAAGTTTATCATAATTTTTGTGTAGGTAGTGTTTTTATCAGGATGCATGATGGTATTGTGAGGAAGCTAATTAATTTTAGACATGTTTTAGATATCAGAAAGGTGTTGGTTGAGGTCTTAAAGACCAGATACTTAAGATAGTTATTGAGTAAAGAGTTTTGAGGATATGTCGCAGAGCACTAATTTTTATGAACGAAGATTTTCATTACAACCATTATTATCTTCATGATAGTAAATTGATTGGAATGGATGTCGTCTCTGATGATTCTTCTGACACCACTATGTTATGGCATATGCAAATTACTCATATTGGAGAGGTTTCACTTCAAGCTTTGGTGATACAAAGATTGATCAAATGAGTGAGCTTCTTCAAGCTTGATTTATGTGAATATCATGTGTTTGACAATAAGACACATGTTTCCTTTGGTACTGTCATCCACAATATAAAATATATTTTAGAATGTGTTCATACAGATGTTTGGAGCTCGTTGAAGACAACATCATTTGGCGGATGAAGATACTGCCTCCTTCATCAATGGTTACTCAAGATCTGTTATATACCATGAAGTGCAAGAGGAGAATTTCATAACTGATAAGTAGTAGTTTAATACTTGGATTGGTAAAATTATTTGGTGTATTGAATCAAATGATGGGGGTGAAAACACATTTTTGTAAGAGTATCAAAGAACTAGAATAGAGTATCACTTCACTATTCGAGAGATACCACAACAAAATGAGGTTAATAAGACGATGAATTGGAATTTGGTGGAGATAGTTTAATGTAAGTTGCCCAATGCTAGGCTGAATGGAGTCTATTGGGCTAAGGCCAAAGACCATGTTTGTCTCTTATTGAATCAACAGCCTTCTATAACTATTAGGAAGAGCACCACAAAAGAGATTTGGTCAAAACATCCTATTAGAAATTGTGAGTACATAAGGGTGTTTGGGTATCCGTCTTACTACCATGTGCAGAATAATAAATTGGAATAATGAGCAAATAAGTGATCAATATTCATTAGCTCTAGCATGGATTCAAGGACTTCAAGCTTTATGATCAGTCAAAAATGAAGATCATCATTAGTAGAGATATTACATTTGATGAGGCAAGCTTATTGAAGCCTTGAGACTCAACGCAATTGGAGAGCTCCACTAGAATTACAAATATGTAGCAAAAGTTTGAGTTTGATGTAAGTTCATTTGTTCAATAAAGATTTTTCACTCATACTCAAGTACTTGATCTAGCTTCAACATATGAGACACCTATCGACAATACTCATGAGAAGTTAAAAGATGTTGAGGATGAGATTCCTGCTCATAAATCTATTATTAAGAGGAGGAATATGTGCCAGAATGTTCTAAAACCATCTTGGTTGAGGGATCACGTTATATTTGCACTCTTGGTCATAAAGGCTAAAATCCCTTATCACTACAAGGAAATTGTAAAGAGCTCAGAAACTGATCTTTGTAGAGGGGCAATGAATGAAAATATAGAGTCTCTTTGAAAGAATAATTCTTTGAGGTTAGTGAAGCTTCCTCCTAGGAGAAAAGTTATTAGGGGCAAATAGGTGTACATCAAGAAAGAATGATCTCATGAAGCTAATATGTGATACAGGGTATGGTTAGCGATCAAACTTTTTATGCAATGAGAAGGAGTTTATTATGATGAGGGTTTCTCTTCAGTGGTTAATCATCTCTCGACCTGTGTTCTCTTAGTGCTTTTAGCACAGTACGATCTGATTTGGAGCAGCTTGTAAATATTACATTCCTATACAGAAAATTGCAAGATAAGATTTATATATTGTTGTCGCCAAGATATGGAGCCTCAAAATACTTAATTTATAGATTTGATAAATCTTTGTATGATTTGAAGCAGTCACCACGGTAGTAGAATAAGAATTTCTATCTATTCACAATGAGATAAAAGTACAAAAGGAGTCAATAAGATCATTATGCATATTTTAGAAGGTTAGTCAATAGTGAGTTTATTTACTTACTTCTATATGTTGATGGAATGTTGATTACATCTGCCAGTTAGACTATATTTGTTGATTGCATCTACTAGCCAAACTAAGTTTTATAAGATGAAGTAATTGCCCAAATATTTTGAGATAAAAGATTTGGGTGATGCTCGCAGAATCATTGTCATGAAAATTCTCAAGAACAAGCTAGTTGGCAAGGTTTGTCTCTCGTAAGGAGCATCTGTTCGAAAAGTGTTGAAGAATTTTGGGTTGATGACTCAAGCAAGGCAATACGTTTACCCATTGCATCTCGCTTTTAGTTAAGATTAGATCGATGTCCTAAAAATGATCACGAGAGAAAAAAATATGTGATTGGCTCCTCATACTAGTGCATTAGAGTAGCTTGATGCATTTCAAGATTTGTATTAGACCACACATTGCATAATTGATATGTATTGTGAGCATGTTCATGCATATTCTAGGATGGAGTCATTGGTAGACTATAAAGAGTATTATGAGGCATATGAATGGTTTGGTATTTGATAGGTAGTCATGTATTGTTGATTTGTGTAGACTACACTAATTTATACTATGCAGTTTATATGGATAAGTGATGGTCTATGATTAGTATTTATTAATATTTATAGAAGGTCTAATCAATTGTAGATCGGTTCTTCAGTCTACTATTATATTTTCTACTATGGAGGCTGATTACAAGGCAGTCACAGTGGCAATAGAAGAAGTTATATAGATGTAGTGCCTACTGGATGGCATGAGTTTTGATTGGGAGTCTTTAACGGTGTTCTGTGACAGTCAGAGTGTGATATTCTTAGCCATAAATATTTCATCATGCTTGTACCATGCACATTTATGTGAAGTACCACTTACTTTGAGACTTGATTTAAGACAATAAGATTTTGTTGAAAAAGATAGATATAAAGGAGAATTCAGAGGACATGCTCATAAAGGTGCTAAAAGTCTAAAAGTTCACCTACTATAGGAGTTTGGTGAACATCCAAGCTTATGATCGATTGTCCAGTCGGGCGTTTAAGGAACTATGCGAAACTTGATCCCTTTAGGAGGGGAAAATGTGGGCAACCATCTTGGTGCAGTCATTTTTTATGTTGGAACTCATTTGACCATCTCTCACTTATATGGGAGTAGGAGTGACAGAGATTGTTGTATTGAATGCTTTAATTGTATTAGGTGGTAAATTGATTATTTGTATTTTTTAATTAATGCACCATAACTCTCCCTTGTTTAAAAGATGGATTATGGATCCTTTTGAGGAGAGTTGTAACTCTAACTTTTTTGGTCTTCTTTTCTTTTTCCCCACCTATGATAGTATAATCTCCCTCCCTGTGGATATAGTCAGATCCACGCCAAAACAAATTGCATCATATTCAATTGATTGTTTGTTGTGTGATTTCATTTTCCTCATTGTTTGCATAGCAAAAGCCATTTCTATTGTAATTTTATTTCTCCAACATAATATACTCGTGATAAGGCACACTAGAAATCACCTAAAATCTTTTACCCTAAAAATATAAAAGATAAGCTTTAACCTAAAACTCTAGAATAGTTTTTGGGCGAAATCAAACAGTACATTATATAACATGCAAGGTTGGAACCAGTCTTTGTCTAGGTCGGCAATTGTCAACCCTAGATTTTAATATTTATCTATATAAATATATAATTTAATATTTTTTTAATGGATTTTAGGCAATTAAGTAATTTAGCTCCCTTTCAATATATTTTTGTGTCCAACATAATTTTAAAAAATAATCATTTGTTAATTTTATCGACCATAAGAAAATAAAGTTGACTTCATCCAGATAGCATGTGCCATTACAAAAGTTTCAAGTAACTCTATCAAAAGGTCATGATTAGTTGCATTTTTTCTAATTAAGATACTAACCACATGAAGTTCAATGTATAAAATATCCTAGCAAATCCTTAGCATTCATCAAGTTGGTGGGCCTAAATCACTTCTTCACAAAATATGCTACTTAATTAATTGACCAAGATTTAAATGATGCCTTTAAGTTGAATAAGAAAAACATTGATTCCTCGTGAAAAAGGTTGTAGTCTTCTTCATATAAATATATATAAGCTCAACTACGTACCGACATGGCAAGGCCTGTCTTCATGTTAATGAAGAGAACACCGAGAAGTGCAGCCATGCAAAGGCAGAAGTCGAATTTGTCAACCCTAAAGAGATGTCGAATCTCATGAAGCTCGATGACACCGATCATGGCAACGATGATAATGGCGGCGAGAGCCACAAGTGGCGTGTACTTCAGCAGTGGAGCTAAGAACAAAAGCACCAGAATCATGCATACTGACATCACTGCGTTTGCCATCGGCGTCTTGCATCCAGCATGATAATTCACAGCTGATTTTGAGAAGGGACCTTAACACCAAGCAAAAATTACAAAACTATTGAGTCAATTTCAGTTTGATAATTTCACATAAGTAACATAAGCGAATAATTAATAAGATTATAGATATACACCTACTTTATGTAGGTAAAGCATATTTAAGGGATCGCCAACATAGTAAGGCTGCAAGATAAGATATCTTCTCTGCGAAAAATTATTACATGCTGATAACATAGATGTGGATTTGGTAGTATTATGATAAAATATCACCATAATATAATAAAATACAATCAATTTACATGTGCAGCATGTAATATTCGCCGCCAACATAGTAAGGCTGCAAGATAAGATGTCTTGTCTACGAAAAATTATTACATGCGGATAACATAGATGTGAATTTGGTAGTATTATGATAAAATATCACCATTATATAATAAATTACAATCAATTTACATGTGCAGCATGTAATATTCGCTCCTTTGTCTTCATGGCTATATAGAACTCATAAGTTAGCATGATTAGATCAAATATATATATAATTATATATTGATTCCACCATTGCTCTACAAAATGTTTCATAACAAGAGTGAAATGTGCCACCAAAGCAAACTCCAAAAGCATCACAACAAATGAAAATTAAGAAACCAATAGGTCAACAAACCATTTAAAGCAATATGATTAGGTAAATCTCAAAAATCATGCTAGATAAGTTAGCACCATCTATTTCCTTACTGATCAATCAGAAGAAGTTATGGAAGGACTGATATATGAGCACTGTTTCTCTATTTTTCTTAGATTTTTCGGTGGACTTGTTTTATATAAGTATGTTCTGATGTTAGTAGTTGGATTTTTTTTCTCTTGCATCTTCCTTAGTTTAAAGAAACATTTTAGAAGCACGTGAGTGGGGGAGAGGAGAGGAGGGGGGAGTTGAGTGCTGGCTCTTTTTTTTTGAAAGATTTATACAATTAGAAATAGCTATGTTTTGATGTAAACTTGAAGTTTATATGCCAGATAAATTATCTTCTTCCATTTTTATCTTCTTCAATAAAACCATATCAACTCCTCGAACGAATAATTAGAGCTCAGTGAGATCTCTTAATGAAAGAAGTCTCCATCCATAATTATAATTTCTCCATTCATGCAAACATTTGTATGTGTTTTCTAGCAGTAGGTAGGATTTTCGGTAAAATCTCCTTCTCAGTTTTTAAATTGACAAATGGTGACCAATTGAGCTCCTTGATTTTTACTTTTTATTATTGCTCTAAATAACAACTGTACAAACTTCCCCCATCACATCAACACAAGGCATTCTAAATGGTATATATTTTTTAAATCAAAAGAAAGAACCAGTTCTCAACTATTCCTCCACAAAACATTTTTACAGACTGACGAAGAGGTAACCAATTGGAAAATTGACCATCCAACATTAGAACAGAACTATACTAAAGTAGTTCAACATAACTTCTCAAGGAAATAGAAAATCAATGTTGGGAGAAATAGAAGCGGCTAACTTATCTATTATATAACCTTCAAGTTTGCTAAAAGCTCTCCCTACAAAATGTTTCTCTGGACTAAAGAAGAGACAACAAGCAACTTGATCATCTAATACCAGAATAGGTGTGCATAAAATAAGTCCAAAATTTTTTTTTGCCAAGTAACCTTCAAGTTTGCATCAAAACATATAAATTTCTAATGGTAAAATTTTTTCAAATAAATAAATAGAACCAATGCTCAAATTTCTCCACCCAAAATGTTCCTCAAGATGGAAGAAGAGGAAAGAGCAAGCAAATGGACATTCTAACATTAGAACAGTTATATATTTAAAAGGTCCAACAAAAATTCCCTAAGAAATAGAAAAACAGTGCTCATATATATATATATATATGTATATATCCTAATACATGCATATGATAATATACTGATAGATATATATATATATATATATGATAAAAAAAGCAGCTCGTGGCTCCTTACGCGTTAATTAAAGTAAAAGCTACAGAGTTTGATGTTGAGATAGAGAATCCCCAACTACCTATAGGGTTCCTGTCTCCGCATTACAACGCGTTAAAATATATATATAAATTTTGGTTGGGAAGATTTACATACCATTCATTTTTTGTGTATTTATATACCAACGCTCAACTTTAATTCTTACATGCATACTACCTTACATATGCACGAAAAGGTGTATATCACTTGGCAAAAGGAAATTGGGAGGTATGCAAGTAAATGCCCATTTTGTTAAGATACATATCATTAATTCAGATGCAACATAATACCTCTAAAATAAATTAGATCATTAAAAAACATAGTTAAAGTAATAGATAAATAAAAATTATTAAATGACAGTGTGTAAGTATTAGATATTCACATGCAAGTAATATGTGGGAATGAATAAGACCTCGGATCGGTATTGGAAGATAGCATGAAGGACGGAGATGAAATCAGTTTTGTTGGTGAAATGCTTGAGGCCTAGTAAGCCTTTTAGCTGCTGTAATATGATGATCATGGCCGTCCCTCCCATGAATCCCGTTATGGTTGACCTCGCCAAAAAATCTACTATTATTCCAAGCCTGCAATGTCCGCCCCCAACTTTAATAAATAAAAGAGAGTAGTTCTCAAAATTTTCTAATTTATTTAAATATGAATTTGATAAAAATTAATTAATTAAATAATTATTTTATTAATCTCAAAATGTATCCAAGAACTGAAATGACATTTTATTTTAAAGTTTTTATAAGAATATTTTGACCAAATTTTACGCCGGGAATATATATATATATATCAAAAGTAAATTGGTATTTGGCAGAGGCCCAAATACCGATTTTCCATGCGCTAGATCCCATGATGAGAGCCCGTGTCATGTGTCTAAATATTCGAGAACCCAACTCTACTGGGGATTGAACCCGTGACCTGAGAGGACTTACAGTGAACCCCGCCAACCAACAAGCCATGACCTACGACACATATGTTCTTCAAAACCATAGAACGATAAGAACACAAAGACCAAGGAAAAACCATCACACATAAATATTTGCAAAATAAAAATGCGTGCGTAGATAAGGAAGAGACAGAAACCACCTCACAGGCGGAGAGCCATTGATTCAAACTGAGCAGAAGACAGAGGGTAGAGTGAGAGAGAGAGGAAGGATGATAAGCTCACTACAATAACCACTGGAACCAACAGAACCAAGCCCTTGCCACCGGAACCACGAATCCAAGGTGATTGTGAGCGGAAA